CCAATAATTCGTGTACATGTTTTGTACGCCCCGATATTCCGTGTCCGATGGCTCCCAATTATCGGGCCGTACAATACGTGGCCGTACATTATTTGTACGGGCCAATAATTCACGACCCGATAATGTACGACTAAATAATGCACGGCCCAATAATCCGTGTACAAACAAAGGGATTTGTTTGTACACGGATTATTGGGCCGTGCATTATCGGGTCGTACATTATAGGGACCCTATTTATTGATACCACTTCAGGTTCTACATTTTGCAAAGCGATATTTTGTATAGTTGGATTGTTTTAAGATTCAGAATTATTTTTATATTTTGGGGCGATTCGTTAAGTTTCATAATTTGTGTGAACTATTTTTGTCCGTTTGTTCTACATTCGTGCGGAGAAATATATTTTGACACCTAGGAAAAGAATGTTCCTATAAGGTGAGTTCAGTATCTTCCGTAGAATTTTAATTGCTATCTTTCTCAGATTAATTTAACGTTGCGATTAATACACACAATATCCTCACGCAAAATAAGAAAAAATCAAGTGAATAATTCGCCGATGTACCTCATATTTGGAATGTGTAGATTTTTGGATGAAAAATACGACTTTAATCTGTTATATCTTAGTAAAGTAATGTAGAAATAAATTTGTAATATGGATAGCCATTGATTTTGCTTTATGATTCATTGCTTTTATTATCTTATCATAAAACATTGTTCCATAGTGGCGCCATAGCAATACTTGTGATTGTAATTTTAATAATTTTTAATACTTTACGAGAAATATTTCTTATAATTTTAAACTGTGTCAATATTACTATGATGAGAGTAAATCTAAAAACATAGTATATGTTAAGTAAACATGAAATTTATATATAAATATATTTATTTATATATATATCATATGTAACTAAATTTCATCAACATCTTTTGACAACTTAGGTTGATATTGTATAACCAGACATCAGATTTTTAAAGCTCTTGATACAAACACCATTTATACCCCAATTCTTAGGGCTTATAACTTATTTATAACTCAATAGATAGTACTATCCTGCTTGTAAACCATCACCATGAGTTATGTTCAATCCCTGCTTACCCCTAGATGTTAAGGTTGTGTTATAAACCATAGACAAAGTTGCTCATTAATATGATATATTGTTGCAGTTCATTCTCTAAGTGGGTGTTTGGGTGATGATGATGGATACCATGGTGGAAAGGATGCTGCGCATGGATCTACCAAGACTGTGGACTCACATAGAGTCTGTGCATTGTGACTATGTTGAAATGGAAGATTGCACAGATAAAATAACACTGAAGAAGCAATTGGAAGGTAAGGTTGTAGAGTGAAAAATTATAAAAAAATGTTTTGTTACAAAAAAGAGAAATGTATAATTGAACTAACTGAAGTGTTACTATTGATTTTATGCAGACTTTATTCTCCTTTGATTTGTGGTTATATACCTTGGGGTGTGTTTTTCATTTTTTTTGCATCACTCTATAACATCAAAAATATTATTGTTCAGCAAGTAACTCTTATTTTATGAGAAGTTCTTAAATTCCTTTTACAGTTTTAACCTTGTTCAGTTGTCTTATAAATTAATTGCCATCTATAGTCAAGACAGAGCTTGTGGGTCTTGTAAAGAATGTTGTTCAGTGCTTTTATAGTTACTTAACACTATAATACAATTTATTTCTATAGAATGTACTTATTTATGACAACTATAATTGAGTATAGTAAATCGGAGTAAATAATAGAACAATATTATGTTAAGCTTATTGAATCCCAAAGTGATTCATCTATTGTTTATTGCATGAACAAGCAGTATTCATAAATATTTTTTAATTGCTTTCTTCATTGTTATAGATTTAAAAATAAATATTGTAAAATTGATTAAGATTGCGATTACGAAATTTAATGTTTTTTTAACTATATATAGGTAACACTTTTAAATATTTGATATTGTTTGAAATGAAAACATACAAAAGAGGTTGTTTCTCATTGGCCTGATAGAATCCATGCAATAAATCCAAAGGAAAAATAATTCATAGTCTTTATTTATCAACAGGCTGATAAGCCTAAAGGGAAACTACTACAAAAAATATTGCCTTCACAAATGCATGTTTTGGCAACCCTAATGAGTACCTTTTTGATATTATCTTAATACATAGCAAATAAAATTAGTTTTTTTATGGGCATAATTACTTCCTTCATAAGTGAAATTAAAAACATGAATTTATTTTGTTATCAGTAAATGTATAATAAAAATTTGTATAATTTCTTCCAGATCACATAATGGAGTATCTGTATGTAGCTCCACCGGAGTCTAAATTCAGCCTGGCTGCGACTGCGAAGGTGTTCCAACGGACAATAACCGAGATGTCGGACTTCAGTGCATACCGCGCCGGCCTCGGCTGGGCGGCCATTGAGAACTACGCTAATAACATCTACTTGCAGCCATGGCGGAATGAATTTAAAGTTGTCAGGGTAAGTTGGTTATTGTTCTGACTTATATTATGTGTCAGTGATATTGATGTTGGTTGCATTCATTTCTCTTCTTTAAGAAAGGAGAAGAGTTTGGTCGTATAGCACCAAAGCACTTTATTACAAGTCATTCTTACTTAAATAACTTTTTTTATAGCTAACAAATTTGTGATTTTGAATGTTCTTCATGTTAATGAAACTGTCAGATACCATCCTTTTTATTTTATTTTTTATTTTACGACAATCTAGAATTTTCGTGTTGTCAACATTTAGACAGTTGTAATAAAGAATATTTAAGGATATATACAAAAGTATTTTTATCTAAAGAATCTTGATTATTAGAAGTACTGTAAAAACATGATACTTATATTATTTAAGTAAATGTTGTATGTGCAGCTATACTCGGGTTTCTTCAAGCACGAAGTGGAGGCTAACTTGGTGGGTGCGGACAGCATGCTGCTGGCGCTGGGCTACCGGCCCGAGGAGCGCTGCGCCGCGCGCCTCCAGCTGCGGGAGCCCGTCTGCAAGGACTTAGCCCTAGCGGTCTCCGTGGACGCCATTGTTGCACAGTGCGAGTGCCAGGTATTAATTGCTTATATGCTATTACATTCCTAATTTCAGAATTGAATAATAAAACTTACTAAAATTACATATTTTACAGTTAAACTGTACATATTTTTTATGTTATTGTACTTGCTTATAAATAAACTAGCTTTCGCCTGCGAACCCGTCCGCGTGGAAGTAAAAAAAATAATAGCCAATGTGTTCTCCCAGACTATTCTCTACATCTATGCCAAATTTCATCGAAATCCGTTCAGCCGTTTACCCTACAAATCTTAACAAACATCCATACATCAATCTAAACTTTCACATTTATAATATTAATATGATAATAGTACTAATCGATAGTGTTGAAGATATGAAATGTTGTTTGTCAGATAATGTCGCAAGTGCTGGAGCGGCTGGGGGGGCGCGGCGTGCGCGCCAGCTGGCAGGACGTGGCGCGCCAGCGCCAGGCGCAGCTGAGCCTGGTGCAGGCCGCGCCACCGCCCCCCACACTAGTAGCGGGCTACTATGGCGACGGTGAGAATACTGACCTACAAGTCAAAAAACATTAAGCTAACAGACAATAGAATGTAAATAAACAAATAACCTAAAAAAATCTTGAATAACACGAATAAGTTGTTCCTCAGAAAGTCCGAAGATGTAATAGGATTGTATGTGTTTGCTAGATTCGGAACTCTACTCGAATATGGCCGTGACGGTAATGGGCGACACGCACCGCATCAACATGACACAAGGGCTGTACAATGCCGGAGTACCGCAGGGTAACAATGTCTGTCCCGGCGTGTCGCCTGTCGAGGAGCCCTTACCGCCGATGTTGCACCCCCCATACATGGTGCAGCCGCACATGGCCTACCCCGCGCTCCCGGCGCTCCCTGCCTACCCCCCCCTGCACTACTTCCCGGTGCAGCCGCCTTACATGATACCCATGCCCGTGTACGCGCCCGTCAAACACGCCACCAACATCCCCGTCAATGGATACCCGCCCATACAGCAGTGCGCGTATCCCGCCGCCCCCGCGGTGCCCGCCGTGCCCACCGCACAACTTATAGAATTGGACACGCCCTCCATTTACGAGAACGGCAAATTCGAAAGACATCGAGATGAAGAAAGAAGTAACAAGAAGAGCGGCAAGCATCTCGACACACCTAAACGAACGTCATCGAGATCTGGTTTCAGTGACGTCACGCTACCGAGCCTGCCGCGCTCCGACACGCAGCCAGCCTTGAGCAAAGCCAAAGAGGACGGCATGGGTACATACGAAAGCTGGGATTACGTGTTCAGGAATTTGTCGAGTAAGGATAAAGACGGGGACAGCAGAAGTGGCTTTTCGCAGTCCCTCGACAGAGATTCGAGAACGTTAGATAGATTGGAAAGAGAGGAAAGGAGATCTAAGTATCAACCGACCACATTGGATTTGGAAGACGGATTGCAAGCTCTCAACCTCGACCGGACTTACGACGAGGAGATTTACAGGACGGCGACGGTCAACGAGAATCTCAACAGGTTGAAGCAGGAACAGGAGTCGAAGCGGGCGAAGCATCTCGGCAAGAAGCACGAGGATGATAAAAAGAAACGTCACTCGGCAGAAGCCATCGGAAATCCCAAAGCTGACGGCCTGATACCCACCAAAGTGCCTTCGGATAAAGTTAAACTACTGTCAAAGCAGGAAATAAAAGACAGAAAGGAGATTATAAAACAGCAGAGTTCTGTTAATGGGACCTTATCGAACGGTGCCGTAGTAAAGAAAGTGAAAAAACCAGCAAAGTTGGTCGCTGCCGAGATTGAAAGGAATAGCAAAAGCAAACCGTTAGAGAATGGCGTGGACCGAGCGTCGCACCTTACGAGGATTGCTACAAGTTAGTATTTGAATACTTTAAAAATGTTTTGTCATATTTGTCATGGTGTCTCATTTATCAATATGCAATATGTTTTTTTACAGCATCCAGTGCGCAGCCGAGTTACGACCTTAAGGCTCAGTTAGTCGTGACATTAGACGAGCCTGACAACACTCGTCGCTCCCCACCGAAATACAACCATCACAACGGCGATAAAGAAGGCTCTTTAAGTGGAAACCTGTACAATAACGAGAAAGGGAGACCAAATACGGCAGAGAGCGAGTCAAAGAAAGACAAATGGCAATGTTCTACATGTACGTATTTAAATAAATTATCATTACAAGCTTGCGAAATGTGTGGTAAATCCAAACGTGGTCCGGAGATACAACCTCTGACGTCAGGCGGGCGAGAGTGCCCCGCCTGCACTCTCGTCAACACTCGCAATGCCACCGCGTGCGACGCGTGCGGCACCAGCTTGCAACATTGTCCCACATACATTTAGAGTTCAAATTTCTATGATAATGACTTTGAACATGTTGCCAAGTTTGTTCTAGTTCAAACCCCGCCCTTGGACCAAACATATAATATAGTTACAAATACATGTGTAAATTAATCAAACTAAAATATAAACTTTTGGATATGTTTTTAAATTAATCTTTAATGTTTTGTTAATCCTTTTTAAAGACGGGTTTTCTTTATCGTATTCCTTTGGATTCGACGAACGTAGCTCTCTCAATGTACACGTCAACCGCAAGGGCGGGGTAATTTTATTATTTATTGTTTGATATAATTTTTACCTCTAGTTTTATTTAGTGGCATCCCTAATGTAGCAGATGGAAGTTCCTTTAAGGCCCGGTGTCATCTGTTATTATTTATTTTTATTATAGTTTCACATTGTGTCAAAAGTTCATTCCAATTTAAGATTCGAACTATCCAAACAAATAAGCGTTGTTACATTTTCTAATCCCATTGAAAAATTATTAAAAACGTTATACAATAGTGTTTTGAATAATTTTGCGAAATCATGTAAAAGGTGGTTTTAGTTTTTTTGATTTTTGTTTTTAGAGTAAAATTATAGTAATTTTATCTAACTTTAGGTGTTGAGTTGGAATGAACTATACGTAGCTTCGAATATGTTGGCATTATGTGTATATTTTAATGTTATATAAAGTCATTATAATATATTCTCGTTATTGTTAAATTTGCTCATGAATATTTTGTTTGTCTTGTAATATATAATAAAAATTACTAATTTATTTGGTTACTACAGCTTAGTGAGACAGGGTAATTGAAGGCGTAGGGAGATACGGGG